CCTATGCTTGCTCAGCTACATTTTAGCTCATCAGTTAGCATGCAGCGTGGGTTTTAGAAGAGGTCGTACTGGCTAGAAGAGTCAGAGTTGAATTGAACTATCAGATGAAGTTGAGGGGAGAAAAATACACCACCACGTATTTACCACACACTGGTATAGAGTTCACAAAACAGTAATCGATTTGGCACGGCAAACTTGCCATCATTTAGATGCTACTAACATCTCTGTCAGAAGCTGTCATTATTTGATGGGCTATTGTTATACTCATCAAACAGCCAGCCTACACTGGCACAAGGGCTGGAGTGAGACGCCTGTGAACTGCTATGCTCAATGACTCAGCCTGCAGAAAATAAATAAATTAATAATAATAATTAAAAATCACATGTAGCACAAAGGAGGGCCTTCTTCAGAAATGAATGGTTCTATAGATAAAACAAATGACTAGATTAGTTTATAATTAAGTTCTTTGTCCTCTGCTTTGACAGGGGTTGATTCAAGATCTCTCTGGACTCAGAAGCTCTACAGTTGGATCTCCCAGCAGGAGCGGTGGGGGACAATAGCCAGATAGACTAAGACCTACTACTTGTTCTCTCTGTTAAGTCAATAAACCTTAAGGAGCATGAAAGTTACTCCTCTGACAGCAAAAGCAGAAGGGGATGCAGGGGCTTGAGATTTTTAGAAATGATGTCCCTTATATACAACTATGCAGCATGAAAAACTTTACTTTGATCACATTTCACAGTTCCTTCATAGCCAGAAGGAATTTCTTTACAGGAATTTTCATATCACTGCACTGGCAAAAAGCCTTTTATCCCTTTTTATCCTTTTACCCTTGTTCCATAAAACCAATTTCCACTCCCCAGCTCACGATCTCTCTAAGCAGAAAAGTCCTTTCTGCCACATGCTTGTCATAAACTAGGTAGGATATGACAAAGTTTCAAATACATGAGTCTTTATAAAATTGGAAACTTTACAATTAAAAAAAAAAAGAAAAAAGAAAAAAAAGAAAAAAGAAAAAAAAGACAAAAGGGTTGTGGGGGGGAAATTATTTTCTACGTTGACTGTTAGGTTCTTAAGCTGCCAGTATTTACCATTAACGACTCTGTATTTCAAGGTCATGATTGCAACAGATCTGCTATTTGTGGATATCAGTGAGAGATGATCTGCCTTTCACCAGTTCAGATGCCCCTCCTATTCACCGATTTGATTTTTTTTTCTTTTTAAATAACCCGGAAGTTTGAAAGTGTAGGCAGGAGACCCCAGTGTGATGTTTCTCCTACACATGGACTGCCCTACGTGTACTGGATAGAGAAGGGACAGACCTTGCCATGCTGCAGAGGTGGCCACCAGTTTCCTGCACAAAGGCACCGGATCTGTCTGCAGTGCTGTCTGGGGTGTATGACACACACTTGCTCTGACTGAGGATAGCTTGCTTGTACAGGACCAGCGCTGTCCCCTGCCAACCACATGTAGCTGTGTGTGAGAGCCTTGGCACCTCATGTAACATTACAGGTCTGGTTTTGGAATTAGAGTAAGTGCCCTGAATTTGATTTCTTAATGCAGTGATGTTCATGACACCACTGCCGTTTTGGTCAACGGAGATCTAATCAACCCAGCTGATGGAAAAGAGAGTGAGAAACCTCTCTCCCTGTGGTACATGAATCCATGCCATCAGAAGAATCCCTGCATAGGCTGTCCAAAAGATAACAAATTGAGAAAGATTATATCATACGAAATGTGGGCATCTGATGTCATTTCTGCTGGCCAACGAGGTTCCCCACCAGCATACAAGAAGATGCCTCCAGATGCTGTCCTGTCTCTCAGCATAGCTCCTCTAGGCCTTGCAGCTGGCTCCACATATCTTGGACTACCTCTGGTACTTCAAGTGTGACCGGACATTTGCATCTGAACACCTCAGTCATGACTTCCATCTCCAGTAATTAGCATTAATTACTGAGCTGAGACAAGGAGGTCACATGCAGGCATCTATCGTGCGCACACTTGAACTGAGGCCAAAGGAATCCCACCGCCTGAGGGTTTGTTCTGTGCATGGAAGGTGGCTGAGTCCACTTCTAGCCCCAGGACTACAGATATGGAATGGGGGCTGAACCCCTTCCCTCAACAGTGGTAAAGGAGATTATTCACTGTCCCTGTCTGGGTGTCCTGTCTAAAGATGGGACAATGAAAAGGTAATTCTTGGACATAACACTTTCAGATGGGAGAAATGACACTGCTGGAAGGAAGTGTGCCTCCCCCGCTGAAATAAAGAACATCAGTGGTTCCTTCAGCATGCTTCACAGCAGGTTCCCCTGGAGCCCCAGGGACAAGCAGGAGGGAGCCCAGAGGGGACAGAGAAAGTTCTGCCTTGGGCTGGTCCTCTGCTGCTGAGCTGGGCTGGGCTTCTGGGATGGAGCGAGCTCATGGCAAGTGGACAGCACTGCAGAGAGACAGCTCTGCCCAGGAGCAGGGCTGAGGGCACTGCCTGCAGGCACCAAGAGGAGATCTGCGAGGCAGAAAGGTCTTAAAGGTAGTTGGGAGCAGGAGGATGCTGAGAGCTCACTGGGAGAGAAATCTTCAGAGCCCTCTACATGGTAAGTCTCTGGGTGCAGGGCAATGCAGCTTCAGTTCCTGGAGGGATCTCCTGAAAATGGTACATCTGACAGTGTGTGGGATCTGTCAGGAGGACTCTCACAGTTTCTCCACAGTAGAAGAGAAAGACATGCTGTAGACCAGGGATGCCCTGCTGCCCCATCAGAGGGACAAGGCATGAGGGCTGCCTTCTGCTGTGGATGGCTGCGGGGTATGAAGCTGGGTGTGCAGGCAGGGGTGCCCAGGGCTGTCCTTCTGAGCAGGGTCCCTGCGCCCCAGGGGCTGTGTGCCGGGGCAGAGACTCTGCCGCCTGCCAGGGTCAGCACTCAGCCTTCCCCAAGAGCTTCCCACAGCACTGAGGAGAAGCTGTGGGTAGGAGTAACCCCCGGCAGGGCAAGGCAGGGTCCTTCTGTTGTTGAGAGGGTGCTGCGTGGGACAGCGCTGCTCACAGCTCCAGATCATGCCCAGGTTACTTCTGAGGGGGCTTTTCATGAGTGCGTTCAGGGCAAGGGTTTCCTGCTTGAGTCTGTGCTTCCCTGAATCTGTGCTTCCACTTTTCTCTGGCTTGGCTGAGTGGGATCGAAACAGAGTTGTAACGGTCAGAGAAAGGGCTGAGACTCCTGAACCGTCACCTTGAGCTGTACTAGAGTCCTGAGCAAGTGCCTTCAGCCCCTACCATCCTAGAGGTACCAAGAACATCCCCTGTGCAGTTTCATCAGGGTTTGTATGAGCTGCTGCTCTTTAGCCCCTGCAGACATGAGGAGGCTGCAGGGCAGAGCTGGGCACACAGGGGCTGGGCTGGGGTCTGTGATCACTGGCAGGGAAGAGATGTGGGGCCAGAGAAAGAGATCCCAGCTGGGAGAGGTCCAGGCAGCAGAGATAGGCGGGGAGGGTAGGATGTGTGCAGGAAAACCCTGTTGCAGGGGAGATGTGGGCACTTCTGGGTGATGCCCTGCACTGCAGATGCCTTCCCTGAGCAACAGCCCTCTGCTCTCCTCTCCCACCCAGCCCAGCACTCAACCCATGGCGTCACCTTCTCATCCACCTACCAGCAGAAGAGATGAAGGGCATCTCTCATGCCATGCACCCATTTCCCACTAACCAGGGACGAAGGGACACTGCCTGACATTGTTGCCACGTGGGAGTTGGTGTGCAGAGCTGGGGAAGGGAAAGGTTTTCCTGAGCGCCCCTCTGCCTTTCCCCTTGCCTCTCCTGGCTGCTCTCGCTACTGCTGTCAGGCTGGTTGGGAATGGGCGTTTCAGTTGCAGAGTCAGGCACTCATCTTGTCAGTTCCCACATCATTGTGTCCATAGGAATAAGCTATGCCAGCTTTCCCCTAAGCTGTGAAGCTCTGGGTGATGCAGCCTGTGAGCCTGGGGAATGAGCTGGCTCTCCCTTCCTCAGATGCCGTCATGAGCAGAGTTGGCTATCTCCTTGGGGTGTCCTTCCAAGCTGTGAGCTGCCTTCCAGGGGGCACAATGAGCCCTGTGTGTCCTTGGCTAGAAATGGGATGCTGAGATCTTAAGAAAGGATGAGACATTTAGAGGTCTGAGGTGGATCCCTCTGCTCTCAGCAGTGTCTAGTGGCTTTTCAGAGTAGCATTGGAGTGTGATCATGCTCTGTTTCAGCAAGGTGTAAAACCAGGGTAACCTGGAACAAGACAAAGAGACAGAGCAGCTCCCTATGCTCTGCACTGTCACAGGCAATCTTCTTGCCTTGCTCAGTTCTCCCTGAGTGCCAAAGAGACAGAGCAGCTCCCTATGCTCTGCACTAAGTCACAGGCAATCTTCTTGCCTCGCTCAGTTCTCCCTGAGTGCAGTAGAAATGCTGGGGGTTTCTGAAATCCAAGAACACTCCCCAGGGGAGCTAAGGGGAGCTGTAAAAAGATCCCAAACATCTCAAACTGCCTTGTGCCATCCTGGTTCCTTAGCACTGGGAGTGCAGAGGCTGACAAGCCCTTTGCCATTAACAGTGATTTCATATGACAAAGTCGAACTCCAGGACTGGCCCCTGCCCACACCATTCCCATGAACCCACTGCTGCAGAGCAGGGCTGACTCCTTGCCCACCAGCATGCAGAGGTCCTGCTCCTCACAACACAGTCAGCACCAGCCCAGAGCTCCAGCCATGGAGCTGAAGGAAGATCTAGAAAAGTGTGTGTGTGTGTGAGTGTAACAGGAGAGGGGTTATGGGAAATGGCTTTTAGTTTTGCTCAGAGAAGTCTCCTCTAATGTATTGTGTTTTTCTCCTCAAACAGTCCCCATGTATAAATGCAGCAAATGTCCAACAGCAGTTCCATCACCCAGTTCCTCCTCCTGGCATTTGCAGACACACAGGAGCTGCAGCTCCTGCACTTCTGGCTCTTCCTGGGCATCTACCTGGCTGCTCTCCTGGGCAATGGTCTCATGACCCCGCGACACCCGCCTCCACACCCCCATGTACTTCTTCCTCCTCAACCTCTCCATCCTTGATCTGGGCTCCATTTCCACCACTCTCCCCAAAGCCATGGCCAATACCCTCTGGGACACCAGGGACATCTCTTACCCAGGATGTGCTGCACAGGTCTTTCTGTTGGCCTTCTTGGTTGGAGCAGAGTTTTCTCTTCTCACCATTATGGCTTATGACCGCTATGTTGCCATCTGCAAACCCCTGCACTACGGGACCCTCCTGGGCAGCAGAGCTTGTGTCCACATAGCAGCAGCTGCCTGGAGCAGTGGGTTTCTCCATGCCGTGCTGCATACAGCTAATACATTTTCACTACCCCTCTGCCAAGGCAATGCTGTTGACCAGTTCTTCTGTGAAATCCCCGAGATCCTCAAGCTCTCCTGCTCAGATGCCTACATCAGGGAATTTGGGTTTCTCGTGGTTGGTATTTTTTTAGTTTTTGCTTGTTTTGTTTTCATCATATTGTCCTATGTGCAGATTTTCAGGGCTGTGCTGAGGATCCCCTCTGAGCAGGGACGGCACAAAGTCTTTTCCACGTGCCTCCCTCACCTGGCCGTGGTGTCCCTGTTTATCAGCACTGCCATGTTTGCCTATTTGAAGCCTCCCTTCATCTCTTCCCCATCCCTGGACCTGGTAGTGGCTGTTTTGTATTCGGTGGTGCCTCCAGCAGTGAACCCCCTCATCTATAGCATGAGGAACCAGGAGCTGAAAGACACACTGAAGAAACTTCTTCAATCAGCAGTCTTTCAGCAGCAATAAGCAGGCCACGTCTCTTCATAAAAGGGATTTAATTCATTTTGGGAACCTCATATGCTGTGGGCATTTTATCTGGGATAATCCTGTGTTCCCAGGAGTGACTACATCCACTCCACTTCTCCAGAGACCTGAACCCAGCCTGTCTGATCCAGAGGCCTTCATGTGTGTGCCTGCAACAATGGCATAGGTTGCCTCCTGTTTCACATCGCTCTAATAAAAGGAGATTTCCTCAGTGCCAGTGTCTGGAGATTGAGATCTTCTTCCAAAGCTGAGGTCGGGAACAGGCTGCTGAAATTTCCCTCACAAGGCTGTGCTGCTGTGCTGGGGTTCTCCATGGGCTGAGGGGAGGAGGGCATAAGGCGATGTGTTAGGGATGGGACTGAACCGATCTTTCACTGGTGGCCTTGCTAAGCAACCATTTCCAGCACTGGTCACTCACCACAGGTTTATGGGTGAGTTGTGCTGCACGACCATTTCCATCTTCCTGCTGGGCTCAGTGCCTGCACAGGGGGAACAGCCCACCCTGCTCCACATCTCTCCTGTCCAGACCCTGGCAGACCCCAGAGTGAGGTTGTCTGTGAAACCCCACCTGGGATGCAGATAGTGCTGGGAAGGTTCCAGGACCTGGGGGAGGCTGTCTCAAGTAGGAGGAACAGAAGGGGGACAGGGCACAAAGGAATGTCTTGGGGATCATGCGAGACCAACTGTTCCTCACACCGATTCCACCTTTTCCCATGCTGTGCCTGCACAGTGGGTCCATGGGACCGTGTGTGGGGTTGCAGTGCTGGGCCAGCACAGGACAGGGCACTGACAGGGGCTGACCACCTGGAGCGGGTGGCAGCGAGAAAAGTCAAGAGCAAAGAGAAGAGATTCCATTGCCGTGTTAGAGACCAAGGCTGAAGAAGGGAAATGCAGGGCTGCTGCTGGACGAGGACAGTGATCTAATAAACAGCAGGCACAAGTGGGGCTGAGGGACTCAATGCCTTCTTTGCCTGAGTCTTTACTGAAAAGGTCTCCCTGGGCTCTGTGCTCAATGAAGGGCTTCAAGGAGGAGGAGAGCACATATTGGCAGGCACCTCATGAAATCCTTGAAGGACAAATGCCAGTTTCTGCCCCTTCAGGGGACTCACCCTTGCAATGGCACAAGCTGGGGGCTGCCTTGCTGGCAGCAGCCCTGTGGGAAAGGTCTTGGTGGTCAGCGAGCTGGACAGGAGGCAGCCGTGTGCCCTGGCAGCAATAGAGGCCAGGAGCAAACTAGGCTGTGTGACCAGCAGCATGGCCAGGAGATCGAGGGAAGAGATTCTCTGGAATCCAGGTTTCAGATCCCCAGTTCAGGAAAGATAATGGCAAGTTGAGTGGGTTTAGCAAAGGGCCCTCAGGACAGCCAGGGACTGGAGCACTTTGCCTGTGAGGAGAGGCTGAGAGAGCTGGGCTTGCCAAGTACAGAGAAGGGAAGGCTGATGGGGACTTTATCCCAGCCTGTCAGTACCAACGAGGGAGATATGGAGAGCACAGAGCCAGTCTCTTCATCATGGTGCATGGTGGGATGACAAAGGACAATGGGAGGAAGGTGAAAGTGGAGAGGTTCAGTCAGGGCTTAAGGACAACTTTTTTCCCCATGAGAGGTTTTGGATTCTCTGTCCTGTGCTGTAGGTGACCATCTAAACTAAGACCTAAACCAGTGAAGGGAGGTTGACAACTCTGTGCAAAGACTGAGGAGTCCTGAGCAGGGAGGCTTTTGGGGACATGGGACGCTGTGCAAGACACCAAATGATCTTTGTTTAATGTCTGTAGGGCTGTCAGACATCATGGCTCGTTAGGGCTTTCTGTATTTTTCTGAGCCCCATAGCGTATTTGGTGCTGAGTCCATGAACCTCAGCTACTGAGAGGAGATTGAAGAAACCTCACAAGAACTCCAAGTCAGCAGTAATGCCCAAAGTACCTTGAAGCATTAATGGGCCCCAGTGGGGGCCGTTAACTGACAAAGCCTCCCCATGGACTTGTTAGAGCAGATAATTGGAGGCCATGATGACAACCAAACAAAGGCAAAGCGCAGTCAGCTCTGATGCTGAGAACACCCTGAGTTTTATTGATGAAACAGAACTGCCAAGCCCTGACCCCCAGTCCCTGGGAAGGGAGGTCCTGACCCTCATGTGTGTCTCAGGGACACACTACTCCAGATGTGGCCACACCAGTGCTGAGTCAAGATGAACAATAAGTGCCCTTGTCTGGTTGGCCACACTCCTCCCAGTGCAGCCCAACGTGCTCATGGCCATATTCCTGTTTAGCACCACTGGCTGCTATGGCATCCCTCGTAATGTCCAAAGCTTCCTCCATGGGGCCATTCTTCCACCAGTCCTGTCTGAGCCTGCCTTGATGTACAGGTGTAGTGGTTTAACGATCATAGACAGCTAAGTGCCACACAGCTGCTGGCTCACTTATGAAGTCATATAATGTGGAACATCTCTTTGGTCAATTGTGGCCAGCTGTCCCTGCTATGTCCCCTCCTAGCTTCTCATGCATCCCCAGCCTACTTGCTGGTGGAGCAGCATGAGAAGCAGAAAAGGCCTTGATGCTGTGCAAGCACTGTTCAGCAATAACTAAACCATCAGTGTGTTATCCGCACTGTTTTGGTCGCAAATCCAAACGATAGAACCATATGTGCTGCTCTGATGAAAATTAATTCCACCCTCCCTAAAAGCAGTACAATGGGGTGGTTCTGCCCCCTGATGCAGAACATCAGAAGATCAGGAGCAGGAGATCTCTTGTCTTTGAAAAACTTCTTGAGGTTTCTCTTGGTCAAATCCTAGAGCTTCTCAAAGTCTGTTTGAAGTGAAACTCTATTGTATCAGCTGTTAACATGTGCGTGCAGATGGCTCACCTGACTTCTGGTGCCTCTGACAAGATCACAGCAATAGGAATTAAAGGACATGAGAGAGAATAAATAAAAAGAGGAGATACTCGTTAAATGAAATGCTAAGGCCTGGCGCTCTGCCTTGGAATAGATGATGAGCCTGTAGAGAGCTTGTGGGTCAGGATTAACCAAGCAGACCAACATGGGTGACCTTTTAGTGCGTGTCTGTTATGGACTGCTTGATCAGGAAGAAGTAGATGAGCTCTTCTTCAGGCCCCGGGAAGAAGCCTTATGTTCTCACACCGTGGTCCTCCCGGTCTTGGAACTGAACCTCCTGGGTAGCTGCCTGAGGGGCAATATAGCAGGGCACAACCCATCCAGAAGGCTGGTGGAGGACATCACTGATAACTTCCCATGCATGCGCAGATGGCGTTAGGAAACTCAAAGCCCAGCTCAAGCTGAATCTGGTGAGTGACCTGAAGGACAATAAAAAATGTTTTCTATAACTGCATAAAGAGCAAAAGGAAGACTAAGGAAAATGTACATGGTATATGGTCCAGGATATAGCCAAGCCCGAGACAGTCAATGTCTTCGTCACCTTAGTCTTTTCTGCTAGGACTGACTATCAGGAATCCCTGGGAAATTGGGAGCAAGGAAGACTTAACCTTGGTGCAGGACTCTCAGGTTAGGAAACATTTAAACAAACTGGCCATACCTCAGTCTCCAGGAACTGAGGGGATGCACCCACGAGTGCTGAGAGAGGTGGCCATCCTCACTGCGAGGCCATTCTCGATTTTCTTTTAAAGGTTGTGGTTACTGGAGGAGGTTCCTACGGAATGCACGGAAGCAAATACCGATATTATCTCGATGAAGGGCAAGAGGGAGGATGTCCTCATCCTGTCTCCCCTAGCATCCTCTGAGACACACTGATGAAGTATAGGCTAGATAAACAGAAAGCGAGGTGGACTGAGAAATAACCAAACTGCCAGGCTCAGAGTGTAGTGACCAGCAGCATAAAGCCCAGCCATAGGCACCCTGAGCTGTGGTGCAGGGCACCAGAGTTCAGCCCTCAGCCTGGGAGTTGCTAGCAGGCAGTGCCAGCGGCTGCAGCACCCAAGAAACCCCCAGCACCATGAGCAGCAGTGAGTTCTGTTCTGACCATGGGGAGCTACTCTGGCTAGAGAGCAGCTGCTGGGAACATTGGATTGGTGCTGCCCACCCAACATCTTGGTGTCTCTTGGCTCTCTGGAAGCATCTCAATGACAAGGGGGAGGGCCCTGCCTGGCTGGGGGCTGGTAGGAGGAGATGGGGCCTGGAATGAAGCTCCTGGGGCAATTTCTCCTGTCTGATCATGCAGCAACAAGCCAGGCTGGATATTTGGACTGAGGGAGGCATCTTGAGGGCCTCCATGGACATGGGCATGGTCTACAGTTTCCCAAGTTCTCCTTGGTATGCTGTGTGGGGATCACAGCTGGACCCCAGTCTGGGGATGACTTTTGGGGTAAGGGTGGGAAGGGTGCATCTCAAGGACATGTGCTGGGTGCAGGGACTGAAGGACAGCAGAAAAATTTTGTGGCTTCTGGGTCAACACTTCCTTCAGTGCAAGCCCTGACACAGGTCACAGCCTTCCTTTCCATGCCACCCTTCATGAGAGATGATGATGGCACTAAGAAATGGCAAGTGGTGGACACCACTTCAGCCACTTCTCAGACCTTGTGGAACACCAGGACAGCAAGGACTTCTGGCTCTTCAGCATCAGCATGCTTTAGGATATCTAGACTCTGGGTATTGTTTTGGAGCAGCGGAACAATACCAATTTTCTCTCCAAGGCAATTTCCAACCCTGGTAAGCTCCTGTCTGATCTCTCCCCATCCCTCCTCTGATCTGGCCTGGTGCTTCTAACATCTTCCCTGTGCGCCTCAAAAAAACCCCAAGCTGGCAGCAATGATGCTCTGCAGAGCAAGTGGGCTGTGGGACCATGGAGTGACTCCACACTGGCTGTGCTGGTTGGGGAGGGAAGTAGATCCCACTGGATGGGCAGCACAGGGGTCTGCAGCTGTGGGAGGAGCTCAGAGCATTTCTCATGGCTTGGGATGTTTTCCAGTGGGCACACTGAACCATCCATGGCCCTTTTCTAAAGGAGACATGA